GTGGAGGCCGTGAAGGGAGGGCTAGGAATGGGGAAAAAATAAGAACCAAGATGCATTATGTAAAGGTACAATTCCCAATGAGTAATGTAATTGTGTTCTATACCTACAATGTACCAATAAAAGAATTTAAGAAAAAAAAAAAAAGAAAGGGTCAACTTTGATTTTTCTGGCCTTGTTAAAATCAACAAAGTTAGCATTTTTATTCAGTGAATAGAGTTTGCCTTCTACATGGGGAAAAGAGTCTCTCATAAAGGTTTTCCTAATTTGAAATACCCAAGTATGCCAATAAGATGGAAAAACCAGAACAAACGAACAGATTCCTAGATACATATGAATTACCAGAGTTGAACAAAGAAGACCTAAAATTTCTAAACAACCGAATATTAGTCAATGAAATTGAAAATGTAATTAAAAACTTACCAGCAAAGAAAAGCCTGGGTACTGATGGCTTCACTGGTACATTCTATAAGACATTTAGAGAAGAACTATTGCCACTACTGCTTAAACTCTTCAATGAAATTTAAAAGGAAGCAATACTCCCAAATTCATTCCTGGAAGCAGGCATCAACTTGATTCCAGAAGCAGACAAAGACCCAACCAAACAAGAGAGCTATATGCCACTCTCACTAACGAACATGAATGCAAAAGTCCTCAATAAGATACTGGGAAACAGTATGCAGAAGTTCATCAAGCAGTTCATACACTCTGACCAAGTGGGATTCATCCCAGGGATGCAGGGGTGGTTCACCATACACATATCAATAAATGTAATATGCTATATTAATAGAGCCAAAGATAAAACCATAGGATCATCTCAATAGATGCAGAAAAGGTGTTCAACAAAATCCAACACCCATTCGTGATAAAAACCCTACAGAAAATTGGAATAGATGGTCTCTACCTCAATCTGATAAAAACCACTGATGAAAAATCAACTGCCAATATCATACTAAATGGCCAGAAACTGAAATCCTTTACACTAAAATCAGGAATAAGACAAGGATGTCCACTATCACCACTCCTGTTCAATATAGTTCTGGAAACATTAGTCAAAGCAATTAGACAAGTGAAAGAAATAAAAGGAATAAAAATAGGAAACAAATTAAATTGTTATTGTTTGTAGACATCATGATATTCTATATAGAAGACCCCAAGAACTCCACCTAAAGTCTTCTAGACTTAACCAAATTCAGTAGAGTAGCTGGATACAAGGTCAACACAGAAAAATCATTAGCTTTCCTGTACACAAACAACAGACATACTGAAAGAGAGACTGTAGAAACAACTCCTTTTACAATAATGTCCAAAAAAAATGAAATACCTAGGAATCAACCTAATGAAAGAAATCAAAGACCTCTACTCTGAAAACTATAGCACTCTAAAAAAGAGATTGAAGAAGATATCAGAAAATAGAAATCCCTTCCTCCTGGGCAGGAAGAACCAATATAGTGAAAATAGCCATACTTCCAAAACTCCTATATAGATTCAATGCAATCCCAATTGAAATTCCAACAGCATACTTCACAGACCTTGAGAAAAAAATTCCAAAAATTTGTTTGGAACAAGAGACCTGGAATAGAAAAAGCAGTTCTAGGCAACAATGACAAGGTAAGGGATATCACAATCCTAAACTTGAAACTATACTGCAAAGCAACTGTGATAAAAACAGCATATTATTGGTAAAGAAACATACCCAAGGACCAGTGGAACCAATTAGAAGATGCAGAAAAATCTCCAGACACTTAGTCACCTCGTCTTTGACAAAGGAGCCAAACACCCTCACTGGAGGAAAGATAGCCTGTTTAATAAATGGTTCAGGAAAAATTGGGTTTCTCCTTGCTGAAGATTAAAACTACACCTATATCTCTCACCTTGAAGTAAACTAAAATCAAAATGGATTAAAAATCAAGGTATTTTACGTATTCTCTTGATGGATAATAAGTGCCAGTGTGGTTTCCTAGTCATTTCCCCTTATTCCACCTAATCATTCTACACAGAATTAAAAAGGAACCAATCCACTTGTTCAACTAACTGGGGGAGGTATTTATTGCATTATAGTAAGAAAAGACATTATTCTCTGAACTTTGTAAACACAGGACACTTAGAAGCCATGGGTATAATATGCTAGCCGGCCAGATTTCTACAAGTACCAATTCAATTCCAAATGAGCTAATCCTATCCAAAAGGGGCAAGAAAATATCTTGGGAACCTTCCTCCTCTCTTTCTAGTTCATGTTTATCTGCCTCCAACATTTTTTCTTTCTTAATTTCCAAAAGAGTCTCTAAAATATTCTGTTTGGGATGTAGCCCTTTGTCAAAGTGGATATACATCTCACATCAGAACCTTGAATAGAAAAAAAGAAAACAGAAGTAAGTTATTTATTGTTGGAGAAATTGATACTGATATTTTCCTTTTCCTGAGAAAATTTTAGTCTGGTAAGTGGGAAGATCTCAAAAGTAATATTTTCATTAAAAGAATGCATGATAGATAATTCTTGTTGGAGCTCAGAAGGCCAGAATGCTGATATATATGTGTACTGTAAATAATGCTAAAGAGAGTTCAATTGGATTAAATACATTAAAATGATCACAGACTATTGTAGTTTATATCTAAATGTCCCTCCAAAGCCTCATGTGCTCATAGATTGAACTTTTGGGAGCTGATTGGTTTGTGGGCCCATGACTATGATCAGTGATTGCTGATGAGTTTATATCTGACTTGCTATTAGGAGGAAATATCTGGTTAGAAGAGATAGCTCACTTGGTACATGGCCTTGAAAATTTTATCACTTCCCCAGTCCTTCCTCCATTCTCTCTATTGCTCTGTTTCCTGCCTGCCATTCCATGAACAGTTCTCTACAATATCCCTCTGCCATGCCACCTGCCTTAGAGCCAAACAACAATGGACTAAAACCTTTATAAACTATGAGCCAAAACAAACCTCTCCTGTATGTAATGGGTATCAGTTATTGTGTCTCAGCAGTGATAAAGTTGACTAAGATTTCTACCTGTTGAGCCTGGTCTATACTGGCTGTATTACTGTCAGAATTCTAGTCTTTTGAGTTCTGAATAGGATCTCCCATCAAGCTTGGCTCACAGCATTCTAGGGCTGCTTCTCCAGCTGTCATCTCCAATCCTTTCTAAACTCCTATAAACAAGTTGAAAAGGCTTCTGAACCACATGGTCAGTTAGTCACAATAATGACCCATTTCTGTTACCAAAATTTGTCTTAGTCAATTTTCTTGTCGCTGAGACACAATAACTTACACCTTCAAATTAAAGGTGAAGAGGTTTGTTTTGGCTGACAGTTTGTAGAGGTTTCAGCCCATAGTCAGCTAGGTCCAGGGGAGGATGGAATGGCAGAGTAGAGCTGCTCATGACATGGCAAACAGGAAAAAAGCAGAGTGAAGGGAGGAGTGGGGAAGAGATTAATCCTTCCAGACCATGCCCTCAGTGAACCTACCACTTGCAACAAATTTCACCTTCTAACAGCAAGTCAGCTACAAACTCATCAGTGGACTAATCCACTGATGATTATGGGCCCATGATCCAATATTCTCCCCAAAACTCCTCCTATGAATGCATGAGACTTTGGGGGGGATATCTAGATGTGACAAACCCATAGCCAGCAAACTGAATGGGGCAAACCTGAAAGAATTCACTGTTAAGATGAAGAGCAAAACAAAGATATTCACTTTTATCACCATAATATATCACTTCAAATTTTAGCTGAAGCAATAATGCAAAAGAATGAAATAAATGGTATGCAAACAAGAGAAAAGGAAATCAAATTATTCCTATTTGCTAATGATATGAGTCGATACTTGGAAAAATCTAAAGACTCCACTAAAATCTCTATAACTGATAAGTTCTACAAAGTAGCAGGACACAAAATCAGTGTACAAAAATCAATACTTTTTCTATACACCAATAATGAACTAACTGAGAAAGAAATCAGGAAAGCAATCCCATTCACAGCCTCAAAAAATAAAACCTATGAATAAATCTGTGATAGTTAATCTTGTCAATTTGATTGCTGCCTTGTGAAGAAACTAGATTAGAAAAGTACCCTTCTGGATGTATCTAGGTGGGTCAAGGGAGTGCAACTTGGGAAATATATCTGGGACCAGGTTACTTCCTCTTTTGCTCTTTCCCCATCCCTATGCTTCCAGGATGTCATAAGGTATGCAGTATTCCTTCACCATGCCCTTCTGCCATGGTCTTTCTGCCTTGGTTCCAATATACCAGGGGCTGAAACCTCTGTAACCATGAGCCAAAATATACCCTTTCTATTTTAAGATGTGCATGTCAGGTATTTTGTTCCAGCAATGAAAGGGTAACTAATACAAAACCTAACCAAGGAGTTGACAGATTGTAGAATGAAAATAACAATTCTAAAGTACATATATAAGCACACAAGAGCCTGATAGTGAAAGGAATCCAGAGCAAAAGAACAATGCTGAAGACATCACAATATTTGATTTCAAAATACATGACAGAGTCATTGCATCCAAACAGCATGATACTGTCAAAAATATATAGCTCAGTGGAATAGAAGAGAGGACCTAGAAATAAACCTAAGCACTTGATTTTTGACAAAGGTGGTGAAAGATACCTTGGAGAAAAAACACCAACTTCACCAAATGGTACTGATAAAACTGAATATCCACACATTGAAGATGGAAACTTCATCCTTATCTCTCACCTTATGCAGAAATCAACTCAAAATGGATCAAAGACATTAAATTAACAACTGAAAATATTAAAACTACTAGAGAAAAATACAGAGGAAACAGTTAAAGATATTGGTGCAGGCAACAATTTCCTAGATAAGACTACAAAAGCACAAGAAAAAGGGAAAATTGACAAATGGGACTATACCAAATTTTAAAGCCTCTGAACAACGAAGCAATATAGTAAAAAGGCAACTTACAGAACAAGAGAAAATATTGTGTTATTAATTTTACACAGAATTAATACTCATACGCATATTAAAAACTCAAAAAGCTTAACAAACCAGAAAACAATCCACTTATAAATTGAGCACATTTTTTGAACAGATACTTTCCTTAAGAAGTACAAATGGCCAATAAATATACAAAAATGGTCAATTACTTTAGCTATCAGAGAGGTGCAAATCAAGACTACATTGAAGAATTAAAAATGCTGGAGTAGAGACCAGCAACAAAATACAGCCTCTCTGATGCTGGGCATGGTGGCCCATACCTGTAATCTCAGCACTTGGTAGTCCAAGGCAAGAGGATCACCATGAGTTCAAGGCCAGTCTGGGATATATAGTAAATTCAAGGCCATCCTGAACTGCATAGCAAGATTCTGTTTAAAAAACATTGTACTACTATTGCTGCTGCTGCTGCTGCTACTACTACTACTACTACTACTACTACTAATAATAATAATAAATAAAGCACATCTTCTCTGAGACCTAGAATCAAAAAAACAATTAGGTAAAGAGAAAAAAGTAGATCTTTAGAACTCAAGAGGGAGCAGACAGGAAAAGTAGAAACTACAAAGAAGTTAGATAAATGAAGCACAACACAGAAAAAAAGAATGAAGAAGTAGGGAAAGGAACTCCAGCTCTTGGGGAGGAGAATCCATGTCTGCTGACACAGGTAAATCCTGAGAGGGTTGGTAGTTCCAGGGAGAAAAAAATGGAATGGGACAGCAGTACTGCCCTCAAGAAAAGCCCACAATTATTGTAAACTCCAAAAACAGTACGGGGTTTTACACTGAAATTGACTCCTTCCACATGGCAGGCTAGAGATGGAGAAGAAATCTAGTACAGTGAGTGACATGTTCGAGAGGGGTTAACAAGAAGCCATTTTGAAAAGAGGTTAAATAATTTAAGATTAAACTACAGAACAACCATACTTCAGAGTTTCTGGTGTCACAATACCACAGTGAATGGGTGGGAGACAGCCATAAGAGACCATCGTGGAGAGGGTATGGGCTAAATGTAAACCTCACTGAGAAGTTTAAACTCAGGCACCAAAGGACACTGGGGTCACACCTTCTTTGATGATGGAGGCCAGGTGCATTGTGTGTGGCTTCCAGACAGGGCAGGGAATGAAAGTACTGGCACTAAGTTCAGCAGACTGCTTGCCACCCCTTCCACTGGCACCCTGCTGCCTACATCCAGCACAGACCTCAGTGGTCTGTTTCCTTTCCCAATCTGCTATTGTGATCAGGATACACCTAGGTTTGGATGATTGCTCCAGCCTGGGGTGTGTTGACAAAGTGTCCTCTGTAGCAGGGAGAGCACATCACAAACCACGGGCTATAAAATTAGGTAGAGAATGCCATGGCTTAAGGGTCCATAGAGGAACATAGAAACTTGGAGAGGCCAGAGTGACTACAACCCTGAGGTGAACATCAAAACCCAGAATGCCCAGCAAGAAAGGCAGGTGAAGATTCAAAATTTACACACAAACTATGACTGTGGAAACAAAAATAGGTCTTTGCAGTAATTCACTATCCCTCCCACTTATCTGGTGGTTTGCAATACTATAGACCCTGGAAAGAAACCACACATTCAAACATATGGAGGCATTTTGGGGGACTCATTTCTTTTTTTTTTCTTCTTCATTTTTGAGGTTTCTTTATTTTCTTTTGCTTGCTATTTTGAATTTTTTCTTCTTTGTTCTTTTCTGTTACTTTTTTCTATATCTATTACTATTCTTTTACTCCTTAACAGGAACTTTTACCACACCAACCTCTCTTCCTTCACATCTTCCTTTTCTTTCTCAAATCTTACTTCTTTCATTTTCCCATTACCTGCCATCTCCATCTTTACTAGCATTGCTATTAAGCTTTATTAATCTTTAAGTATTTTTAATACCATGCTATACTGTTGAATTATATTAATGATGGTACAATGGTTGCATTTATTAGACATGTATTGTGTACAAATATTTGTTTTCTCTTTTGTATATAATTATAAAACTTTTCTATAGATAAGCATGATATAGTTGCTGCTTTGTTGGTTCTTAGGACATGTCCATATCCAGTTTGTCTTTGACTCTATTACTGTTGCTGATTTTGATATTGACAGGGTTGCTGATTTTGATGTTAATACCAATATCTGCTTTGTATTTGTGTCATCATCAATACTGTGGTTCATTTCAGGAGAAATGTGGTGGGCCAAATACTCTGTAATCTGCTTTCCCAAATTAGTGGAGGTGATTCAATCTTGGGACAGAGGTAAAGGGCAATAGTTGTCCACACCTAGAGTGCACCACTGAAAAGAAGACACTAACGAGATCTCCATAGTATCAACACAGACTTCCTACCAAAATTGACCCACAAATCTCATTGTGCACAAGTACA